AGGACTTCAATTTAGATTTCTTTGTGGTTTATTGAAGCATTAATTAAATAATGAGAAGCACGAAATCAGTTAATTTAGTTAATTATTGCCTTGTTATTTTTTTTTCAGACTAATTTCAAAATATTGTTCCCAGAAATTTTCAAAATTACTAACATTATAAATTCAGCCACTGATATTTAGGAATTTTCAGCCAAGACATCTATTTGAAATTTATATTTAGACAAATTTTGTCCTGTATCTAAGCAAAAATATCGAAAATACACAGTATTGATAACAATCGATGTATGTACTTCCGTACAATGCAATATATCTCGCCAAGTAATTAGCAAACAACACTCAATAAAAATTTCATTTTGCCTTATCTCAAATTGAATTTTTATTAGAAAACAAGAGAGACAGGGAATGACACATGTTGATGTAAAAAATAACCCTTAGAGAAAAGGTCTGTATTGTATTATGTAAATAAATAAAACTGCTTTAACTGTAAGCTGCTGGTTAAAGACATCAGACGCAACTTCCTGTTTAAAAAAAGTGTGGGAACGCTTTTGAAGCAATTTAAAACCCATTTCGCAGTGATTTACTCGTCTGAAATATTCATTTTATCTATTTCCTATCATTTGAAAGTATTTAAACTCTAATAATTATTCTTTAGACCCCTAGGATCTCATTTTTTTATCGGCCAAATATTAATCACCAAATACCTATAATACGTGACTTTGAACTTGTATCTCTCTTTTATCTAATACTTTTTCATTAAAAGATTTATTCTCTTCCAGTCGAAATCACGTATTTTTATAACACTTTAGGACTTGTGACGTGGCAAATCCTATCGAATCCTTATTTGAAGATATTATGCATTACTTCAGATTAAAAATTTATGAGTAGGTTCGAAAATTATGCGATTTTAGGCAATAATTAAATAAATAAGCTTGTGCGAGGTCTTACTGAAATTATTATCACCGAAGTGTGATGTGTTTCTTAAATTATTATCACATGATTTTTTTTAATCCATGACAGTATGATATCTTCATAATATGATTTGAATCTTTGAAAGTGAGTAAAAAATAGCTAATAATGGTATTTTTTTTTCGTTTTTCTGGGGATTTTCGTTATGTCACCGATTTTCTTAAAACTTCTTTTATTTGTTAATTAAAAGGCATAGAATAAGGAAATATAGGCCATTGTAGTCTTACGAGAAGATTAATACATATAGGGGATGTTTTGACCTTCATAAAAAATAGCAAACAAGAGTCCGAAAAATTAATTTTCTTACAAAGCCAAGGTATCTAAGCTGTATATATTCTGAAGCTGCCTAAAATTTCCTACAAATGCTGTAATTTTAATAATTTTATAACTATGTTTCCTATTTTTCTAAGTCCTTTGAAAATGAGAAAAAAATGCCCCAAAAATGGACATTTTTTTCGACTTTTTCCCATGCATATTTTAGTCAAGTAACCGATTTTGATAAAAGTACTGTTATTTACTAATTAAAAGATGTGGAATAAGAAAATATAGGCCATTGTAATCTTATAAAACAATAATGGACAATCTTTGAACAGTAATGGACATAGCGGACGTCTTAACCTTCATTAAAAAAAATAGCTGAAAAACAACGGTCCAAAAAATTAAATTTCTCACAAAGCCAAGATATATAAGCTTTCAAAGTTGTATATATTCTGAATCTACATAAAATTTCCTACAAATGCTGAAATTATGACTATGTTTGCTATTTTTCTAAGGCCTTTGAAAATGCGCAAAAAATAACCAAAAATTGGGCACTTTTTCTACTTTTTTCCATACATATAGTCATGAAAATTGACAATTTTCTTCATGTCATTAATTTTGTTAAAATTGCTGTTACTTACTAATTAAAAGGCATAGAATAAGAAAATATAGAACATTGTAGCTTACGAGAACAGTAATGGACATAGGAGACGTTCTAACATTTATAAAAAATAGCTGAAAAACAAGGGTATAAAAAAATCAATTCTCTCAAACAACCAAAATATAATACGCTGGTAAATTAAAAAATGAATCCAGTTCACTAAAAAAATAGCTTATTAGAATTAAATAAATTATATTCCGCTAGAACAAGAGATTATTAGTCTTGTTTTTTAAGTTTTACATCAGAACAATACAAAATTAAATATAATTGATGAACAGAATTAAATGAATAAATTATCGAAAAAAATCAAATAATGTATGTATAGTTTGGAGATAATCAAAGCAACATTAATTCACTTGAAGTCTGTTTTATTTAAATCATATAAATTTTTCAGTGTTACAGAAATATTTATTTATTTTTTTTAAACAGGATGAGTTTTTTAAGTCTAGTATCTAGCAGGAAAAATCGAATGCCAAGGCTATATATCGGGAACATCGCCAAAAATTAAATAGCTTCAGCTTATACATCAATACTCGAAAATAATATGGCGGTCATGGTCAATATATCTCAAAAGGGCATACCTATATCCCTCCCGAATATTATACAGGGTGTTTCAAAAAATATGGTTTATTTTTCATATCGATATAGGTCCGATTCTGCTTTGTTTCGTAACTACAGGGGGTTAAAGTCTTCATTTTTTTTCGAATTATTATAATTCTCTTCCGAGTGCTTTTAGCGATACGAATGAAATTGTGAGGGTAAAAGTTACTACAATAAATGCGACGTATTTTAATACTGAAAAAATGCCAATATATTCACCAGCAGGGATGTGTATTTGGGTTACCACTGGAATATTTACCACGGCCCCACTAACTTTTTTCCCTTGTAAAATTGTGTAATGTGCTTATAGTAACTTTTACTCTCAAAATTTCATCCGAATCGCTACAAGCATTTGGAAGAAAATTATAATAAATCGAAAAAAAATGAAGACTTTTACCCCCGAAACAAAGCAGAATTGGTCCTACATATATTGATATGAGAAATAAATCTTACTTTTACATGAGGAATCTCCCCACGCGAGATGGCACATGTTTTTTGAATAAAAAACATTTTTTTTATAAAATTATCCTAGTTTTTTTACAGAAACAACAAATTGTTGGGTATACGATTGAACAAAATAATTTATTATAAAACTAATGACTATAGGATGTGTATTATCCCTGCCAAGAAATGGTTAATTAATTCTCAATTGTTTTCGAAATGATAATCTGGGCAAAAATTCGGGTGTGAGTTAGCTCTATCCTAAAAATACATTTTCGAAAAACAGGTGTTGCTCGAAAAACAGTTAGAGTTATTAGTTGGATAGCAGCTTTAATTTCTGTCTTTATTTTCGAAAACATGTTTTTTTTCAGGATATATAAGATTTTATACTTCAACTACTACAAAGAGGTATTGAATTAAAAAAATGAGTGCACAAGCAAATTTCATTTTAAAAAAATCAGAGCATATCGCTGTTCGATTACAGTATGCACCTTTTCATGATTTCTTTTTCACTTACTCATCATAATATTCAGGTTCTACAGTAACAACCGTCATTTTGATATTGATTTTATCACCAAACAGCACCAAACAGAAACTAAATTCTGATAAAGAAATAAACTGATATAAAATAGTTTAGTTTTTTTTCATTTAAGCAAAAAATATTAATATACAGCTGTAAATAGCCTGTGTGTAAGGTTTAAAATAAAATATCAAAGGGGAATTTAAAATGGAGGAATTTAAAGAAAATATAGCATATTATTTTTTTATTTTTTTTCAGATGAATGAAAAAATGAAAAATTCTTAATTATATTTTCAGTCATCAGCTTTATTTTTGACATGTTATACAGGACGAGTCTTAAATAACTGCCAATACTTTCAGTGCTGGTAGATGTCGATAAAAGAATAATTTTTCTCTGTACCGTTTTCCAAATAATAAGTCCGAAATAACCGAGACGTTTTACTTTGAAAATTTCAAACAAAATTTATTTTTCGCTTAAGTATTCCAAAAAAATTTTCAAAAAATTCCAAATTTTCAAAAAAAAAATTTGCGAAAAAAACCTCATAGACGCGTTTCAGGGGTCGAAATATACAACTTCTAAGAATATTTGCACTTATTTAAGACTCACCCTGTATATAGGATTTAAAGTAAAATATCAGAGATATAAAATGGAGGAATTTAAAGAAAATATACCATATTATTATATATATATAAAATTAAATGGCGGAAAGTAGTTTTCTAGAACGATCGTCGCCAATTTTGACCTTTAAAAAGCGTAGGACTTTTCAGCTGGCTGACTGACCTCAGCTAATTTTTCAGGTGAATGAAATGGAAAATTCTTAATAATATTTTCAGTCACCTGTTTTTCTTTAGTATGAGATTGCTTTTATATCATTTAAGTTTGCTAATAGAGCTTCAAAAGCTTCATCGATTTTTATAGAATGAAATCAGTCACTGACAAAGATATATGTTAAAAATCAAAGAAAAGATTAATGAATTTAAAATGTTTTCTAATACCCGTAGTAAGCTTTTCAGTATTCTAAAAATACGATGAGCATGTGATCATTATATAATAGTGGTTTATATCAATCAACAAAATTTTGGCAAAAACATCACATTGCGTAAAATTTTCAGCAGTGTGAATGTGCTGCGATAATATTTTTAAATAAAGATAAATCCACACAGATTTACAAAAAAAAACGTTAATGTGATATTTAAAGAGTTTAAAATCGCTCAATGTGTCTCAATTATTTATTGTTGTATTTTATATAACAACATTATTTACTGATGCATTAAATGCATTCGTTTTAAATTTTTGTCTAATTTTCCACTATTTGACATTGTCCTTCAAATGCCCCGCTTGGATAACACATAATTACAGCCAATCATCTATGAACTATAACCAAATTATATTGATTGTATGTCTTTGGAAAACCTTGGAAACTCAAGTTTGATCGAAATTATTCGCCATCAGTGCTTTTTTTATGGAAAATCATCAATCAATAAAAATAAAATTTCTTTACACAGAATGTACTTTTTACCAGAATATATTTAGAAATAAAAAAATAGATAATATATTTTAAAGTATTTTTTATTTATAACAACTTGGATTGTCTCAAATATAACATAATATACACTTTTTAAAAAATGATGTATAATACACCAATATCAATTAATCAAGAAAAAATATACCTATAAGAAAATTAAAAAAATATCAATATAAATAAAATATCAGATTTTTCTATATTGATATTGGCAACTCTTTTTACTGACATCTTCAACATTGACCGAAAAAGTCATGCAAAATTTGAAAAAGCTACAGAAACATTGCATAACCTTATCATCTAGGTGGATATAACATTGCAAAACAATATAGAAATAAAGATTTTAAAATATATCAACAATTCTACACTGAAGCATCATGCAAAATAAATAAATAAATAAGTATTACAGATATTTTTAAATAATATTTCTTCATGCTATTCAAACATCACCAATAATTAGGAAGGTTGTACATAAAAATTACGCTTTATGTAAAATTTCATTATTAGCTCTTTTTTTCTAAACTCATAGTATATAAATTATACAGGGTGACAACTTGAAAAGTAGCAATGGGGACATATAAACTGTTATCAAGGTCTCCACTGTTATCCCCTAATCTTCCTGATAGTATTTTTGTCTAAAAGATAATTCCAGATTGCTACTTATCAAATTGTTTCAACCTGTATTGTATAAACTATACATAATATCATTTGGGAAGAACAATCGCAAAACCTCTTGATCATTTTTAAACAAAGAGGAGATTTTCGTTTAAACTTTTCGTAACATTTAATTGTTTTTCTCTCTATTGATGAAGTCGTTGACGTTTTTAGCGACTGGCTTCTTCTGGGGCGTAGCCAGGACCGAATCTTCTTCTTCAGGCTCACTGCTCTCCTCGCTCTCTTCTTCGTAATCGATATCGTCGAAGGCCTCAGCCCTGATTGGATGGGGCGATGGAGAACGTGGAGGTTTGGGTGGAGGGTCAAGTTTCTGGACAGGTTGCGGCGATTCCGGCTTGGGAGAGGCAGGCTGGACAGCTGGCGATGGGATCGGCTTGAACTGTGGAACAGCTGCAGGCGTCGGAGACTTTGGAGGAGTTGGAGTTGTTGTTTTCGGACTGGGGGGTGGAGGGACAGGTTTGGTAGGTATGGCAACTGGTATTTTGGGAGTTGGCTCGCTCTTTTTAGGGGGAAGAGGGCATACAATGGCCGTTTCTTTTGGTTGGGGCTTTTTCGACCGTAGCTTTTCCAATACTGTATCGCTTTAATAAAAAAAATAGAACAAAAATAAAAATAATGAAAACATAAAATAATTTAAAAAAATCAAATAATAATACCAAAACTGTAATAATGAATAATAATGAGACACGGCAATAATTATTAATATTGCTTTAAAAGAATTTAAAAAGAAAGAAATACTACCGAACAAAACAATAGTAATAATAAATGCGCCAGGAAGGAAATTTTCAAGTTTATTTAAATCGCAGCAATCCAGGGATGCATTCGTATTTTGGGATTCGGTAGAAGGTTGGCATGGAGACACCGGTTGTGCATCATCATTAGAAAAGCACATTAGGATGTTAAATACATGGCTTCTCACACATAGAAACAGCTATTAATAAGCTCAGTTCGTTGACTTTTCGAATTATAGCTTTTATATCGAATTTTAAGTAAATATTTAGTTACCGCTGAGGTTTACTTTATTACAGTAAAAGGTGATATTTAATCTATTAAATATTGCATCATTACAATAAAATCAATTGATAAGATTGTACTGTTTCAAAGTGAAGTAGCTTAAAAAAAAAGAAGAAAAACACAAAAACAAAAAATTAAACTTCCAGCAATTTAAGTAGTTTCAAATTAGCACACACACAGAAAATTATTTTTTTTTATTCTGCACTCTACTTAAAATGCAAAAATAATGCAATGCTGAAAGATTAAAATTCAGTTAATATTACATTTTATCATAAAAATGTATTGTATTATAGTGTAAAATAAAATATTTTTTGTCTGGCAATAATTTTGGTTCCTGCAGCATTTTGTCAAGAAAATAAAATTAGAGATCAATTTTCTAAACATTAGATAACCTTATATACAATTTGAAATTAATTGATTCAAATATGAATATTAGAGGAATAAAAAAGATGTATAGGTACTTATTCTTTTAAAAGAACAATCCCATAACAAAAAATAGGATGTTTATTTTATTCATTGAATATATTGCACAATCTTCTAAATGCAGTTTCCAAAAATGAGTCACAATTCTAATTTTGCATTTCCACATAATTGCTATAGGTCCCTTTAATTTTATTGCCAAAAATAATGTAGGAAATGATATCATATCACCGTTAATTGCTTGGCATTGTCAGAAAATCTGTTAGCAAACAGCAGTAATTATAAAAATAATATATTTCTACTGGTATCTTAAGCTAATTATTAAAAATCACCTACAATCTATTCTATATTTAAAGATCTTTTGGTTTAACGCCAATTAAAAATACACATATGTAAAAAAATCGTCCACACAATATTTTACCATTACATCTTGTGTAACAACATGCAAAAAAGGGGTTAGATTCTAAAAAAATATACTCACCGGTATTCTTTATAGGTCAAAATTGTGTACCACAACGTGAACATCTTGCTAGTTTGTTGGGAAGTAAAAACCTTTAGAGTTGTACAAAAAATTGTAGCTAAAATAATGTTCAGACTTGAAATAAAACTGTCCACAAATACTTTTCTATATATTGCAAAGAAACCTTGCACAGTTGAAATGTTAAAAATAAAAATGATTATTTTTTCCACGAAATTTTATTCATAAATACAAAATCAGTAAAAATATGTTTAATATTAGTAAACCTGAAGGGTGTATATTGTCTCGAACACTTTTGTTTGACCTATTAAAAATAACCAAGGCAATTTCAGAAGGAATTTGGCTTGATTTACTGAAAAAAAATATTACTTACCTTTGAAAATGACGCAGTTTTATTATTTTCAAGTTTTACAGTAAAGAAGAACAACGTAAAAAAATTTAAAGGCAATTACTGAAAGGAACCCGAAATTGTGTCAGTAATACAACGGATAATCTACCCTTTCTTGTCCTTTCAGTTTTCAGCACCGCAGGATATTTTCAGGAATAGCTAAAATTTCTGCTGAAAACGTATATGCAACTTCACATACGCCGATTTGTATTTCAGGTTGCAGAAAATCAAGGGGCATTGAAAAGCAACTTTAATAAAATTGGAGTTAAACATTATTATAAAGTATTTTAAATATATTATATGAAAAAATTTATAGGAAAATAAAACAAAACTTAAATGAAAAAAGTTATATTTTTCAGGTCCTCAGATTTTAGAACAATAAGTAGTTTTAAAATCTAATATTTTAACACCTACTCTACAAAAATCACTAACCCTAAATATATCCACTTTCAGTGAGATACGTATATATATTAGGACGAAAAAAACTGTATTGCACTAGAAGTCATACGTGAGAAACTATTTTAGGTAGCTATAATTAAAAGAAATAATTTTAAAATAACACTTGGAACTTAAGTAGAAATAACAAAAAGAGGAAGATGTACTGTTTTTCAAATACTGTAATATCATGACATAAAATAGTATCAAGAAAAAAATATTAACGATTAAACAACTTGTATATTTTTTAGAAAAAAAATAAAGGATCTGTATAAATAACAAGTAAAAAAGGGAATGATAGAGACAGTACTTGTATAAATTTGTACTTAAAGAGACATTAAATAAAAATAAAATAAATCAGTGTACAAAAGAGTAAAAAAGATATATAGAAGGCATCACATATTTGCAGAACATATAGCTGCAATATAAAAACCAATAGGGCATGTAACATATCACATTTTGAAAATAAATAGAAATTTTAAAATTCACAACTTGTTTGTAAATTGATAAAAAGTAAAAAAAAATGCAAAACCTAACCTACTAGCAAAAACCTATTACTGATATGCATCACAGATTCTAAAATACTTATTTACATGAAAGAAACAACTATTTACAGCTTTGTATGCTTAACATCTGTCCAGTAGTTTTGAATTGTCATTGCTTCTAAGCTGTTTAAGAATGAATCATTGTCCAGGCTGTACATTTCTTCTGAATTATCCTTGAATAAGAAAAAAAATTAAATAGTAATTGTCGAAAAACCCATATGTGCAAGCAAATAATATAATAATTATATGCATGCACATGCAATGATTTATTAATAAAAATATAAAAAATAAAGAAATTATGGTTAAAGATAAAAAATATTAAAAAGAAGCATTTAGATTACCAATATGGACTTTCTTTTAACTATTTTCCTAATTAATGTTATATTAAACATATTTAAAAAAAATCCATACTGTTAATCCATTTCTAAGTTAACTGCTTACTCTTACTGAAGCATCATCAATATATCCGCTTGAATCAGGGTTACTACATCTGTCATTAAGCACTTGAGGCCTATTGAAACCTTGGTTCTGATAAATGAAGAAACTGACTCCACATATCATGCCCACCACTATAATGCAACCCAATGTAATACCAGTGATACCAGCAGCTGACAAATTCCCAGTAGAAGTATCCAGATCAATCTCCTTTTCTTCTATATCAATACTGTCTGAGTGAACATAGCTATGGTTGAAATTCACCTCTTCTTCAAGATAGGTGCTATTCCCAGTTTGATTAGTTGAAGACATGTTAGTGTTGTTGTTAAAAATGTATCCAGTGGCGTTAACATTTAAATTGGAATCCGTGAGATTTTGATTTATCACAGCTACATCTGTTTTATTCTGATTATTAATATTATTTAAATTGCTTTCGTTTGGAGGTTGCAAAGGAAGAATATTTAATTTCTTTGAAAATTGCCATGGCTTCATGCTCTTTGGGTACGTGGAAGAGTTCTTTACAACTAAAGAAGTAACAGCTTTGGGCGGATTTGAAGTGGCATTTGTTCCAGCTGTATCTGTATGTGAAACATCTTCTACTGTTGGAGTCACGTTTTCAGTTGTTGGGGTGGAATGTAAAGTTGTCAGCAATGTATGACCAAATGCAACTAAAAATATCAACAAACACTCAGTAATTCTTAAAATATATTACCTCAAATTAACTTAATTAAGAGGTCTTAAATACAACTCTTAAATACATACCAGACAAATAAAAGTAAAGTCTAAAAATAAACAGCATCATTATGCCAAATTCATAAACAATACCATATTATTTTTATTTAAAAATCAAGACACTAATTATTGAAGCAATTATTTTGATTAAGCATTATTAGAGAGTGTAAGGTAACTAGCAAGAGACAATGAGTAATCCTTGCCACAAATGAAACTTTATCTATAGCAAAGCCAATGTGGTAGATAACTTGAATAGCAAATTCAATAATGAGCAAACATTCTGATAAAAAAAAGTTATATGTAGAGAAGAACCACAGATAGAACCAAAATTTATATTATTTTGATAAATTATAAATAAGATGTTTAAAAATGTGTCAATTGACACAAAAAGTTTGGTAAATATATGTAGGTGAAAAGCACTTCATTACATAATTTTTAAGTCAACAATCATATAAGGTAAAAACTCACATATGGCATAATTAAATTTAAAATGACAGTTTTAAAGGGATCATCCTATAATAAAATATATTCCTACAATTTAAAATTTATGTAAAATAAATAATCCTACTCTTTATTAATTAGAATAAATAAATTTTTGTAAACAAAGAATGCCTAAATTTCAAGCACTTACCAAAAACAAATTCACACAGACAAAAAGTTATCCAGAACCAATGCATCCACCAGTAATGTGTCATGACTTGAAGTTCATCAAAAACTGGAAAGAAATATTTAAATACTAATTGCCATCGCTATTGTTAAATCTTATTTAACAAAAACAAAGGTGATGTTGAAACACTATTGGACTTATACTTTCTCTTGAAACATGTTCTATTTTATAGGTTTCACTACGCACTGCATCAATAAACGAATTATTTAACTATAATTATTGTTATTATATTCTAATGCGTTGAACTAGAAATAAACATACCGTCTAAATATTATAATCTTTAATAACAATTCACTCGCTCAAGGCAAGAGCAAGGTAAATTTAATTTTAGCCTGACGTTTTAAACGTCAAAGTGACAGTGATTTAAGCAAAGTACTAAGAACGTACACAAGCATCGAAAGTTCAAATTTTTTCGATAGAACGTACACCTGGCAACACAAAATACACAGTACATACTGTAACCATATAAACTGTCCAGCAAAAAAGTAATGAGAGTCACAGACGTCACAGCTGTTGTCTATCATTTTAATATAAAAGTAGATTATTTTTCTATCATTCTTTTTGCCTCTGTCAAAATCGTCACTTCCTCTCCCTGAAAGAACCTTATTTCCTTCAGAGACACGGGCTTAATATTCTATGCTAACAGTTGAAACTGCGATTGCGATTTTAAAATCGCTGCGACTGTAACCTACGATTGCGAATTTAATATTTAAATATTGTACTTTATATATATTGTAGTTTCTATTGAATAAAGTGAAAAAATACCGAGGATGCCATTTAAAAATCAAAAGTTGTCATTTCCGGCGAAACAGAAAGTGATCGAAACGAATTGAATACGTCAATCAATCCTAATTTATGTCATATGTTAATTTAACATACCAAATCTCGTGTTTTTATCAGAAAAAATAAAAAAAGTTATAGTGGCGAACCACTCTTAAGAAACACCCGGTATATTATGACCTTGGCTCTAGAAAATAATATCTTCTCTATAAATAAAATCAGAGAAAAAATTCAATCGCAGTTTACTATAAAATGCTTCAATGGACCACAAAATTAAATTCGCAACAAAATCGCAAAACGCAGCTCCTAAAAATTCAGACTCGCAGATCGAAAGTTATCACGGACCTAGTTTACACAATCACAATCGCAACAAAATCGCAAATCGCAAATACAATAATATTGGTTGCCTAAATTGAAACTCGGAAATAGAAGAAATAGCAAATCGCTACTATAGTAATATTGGTTGCCTATATTGAAACTCGCAAATGGAAGAAATCGCAGTCGCAGTCTCCTATGTGAGCCAATCACAGGTTGCGATTTGTTGCTCATCTTTAGTTAATTGTGACTGAAATGTGTACTAAAAAAAACGCTCCCATGTTGCGTCTAAAAAACGTTAGTTCTAAATATGCTTATATTTTTACAAGTAATCAAAGTTGTTAACCTCGATTTTCAAGTTGTTTATTAATTATGAATGAGTTTGTCAACACCGTCAACATGTTTATAAACCGAATCAGTTTATTTTTTTAAAATATTGACAAATATTAGACTTGGGTTACAAATAAATAAAATACTAACAAAAATGTAGCCAGTGCTAGTATCGATAGAATAAAACATCGATATCGATATTTATCCCTGTGAATCACCATAGACCGAATGACAGGAGGTATGACGTGTGTCATTAGAAACTTACGATACGATGGTATGGTTATGTATATTTTCCTGTAGCCTGTGATTAGCGACGAGACTTACAGGTAAGTGTTTTGTAATATAGCCAAGTAAGCTTTTATACTTGAACTTTATCGCTTAAAGATAATATGCAATCGTAAGCACTTTAAACTGGCGCGAGAATTTGAAAAAATGTTGGTAAACTTCGTTGAGGAAGTCATGGATATTATCCTTCCTTCTGGATGTCAAGGCTAACTATTAAATTAAACTATAGTTAAAATATAATTTCGGTCAATTTCTACACATTAAAGTACTATGACTAAGCCACTATAATACACAAGTATCTATTTCTTCTGTTATCTGACGTTTCTTGGTTAAATTCAATTTTACGGATTCCCCACTTTTGGGAAGAAAAATAATAAATATTCATTCAGAAAGATTTACCGCTTCAAACTGGTTAAAGTTTGTTTAAAAGTTTACAAGAATTGATCTTACATATTTCTTCAAAGAAATATTAAATATGTACATCTAAATGTCCAGTTACAATTAAATCGTTGTTAGCAGATTGATAGAAGCGCACTAACAAAATTTCAAACGAAAACTGTTGTGTGCCAGTGCTGATAATTTAGCTAGAGGATTATTGAACTTTTTAAGTCTTTTATTTAACGTGTATTTAATGTATTTAACTAGTTATTTACGCATTAAGAGGTGAACACCGAATTGCCAGCCTTGACGCAAGATTCTATAACTCGCACATTGGTTTTTCTCTAAAGAAATCCCATGATTATGAGTTTGTCTGATTTTCAATCATAAAAAGGTAACCTTCTATTTTTTTATTTCTGCCTAATAACACAAGGATAACTTTAGGCCGTATTTTGCAATATTTATTCGTTTTCATATCTTTGAATAATGATCTGTACATAAATATAATATAAAAGTTCAAATTTCTAATGGTCAAAAACCACAGTAATGAAGTACGAGTAATGTATCTTTTGTGACATTGGTCCTGATTAGTAATAAGCTGAAAAAGGTAAAAGTAAAAATCACTTTCAGTTCTACCTACCGTGTCGAGTTCAAATGATAAATGTTATATAAATAAGAAAAAAAGATCGTGCCAAGTAAATCCTGTCTCACTTTTCGTAGTGTACAGAGAGTATTAGCACTTTCTCCATCACCAGGTATATTTGTTTAATGTCAATGCACGAAGTCACAAAGTAGTGTAACCTAATTCCCTTTCTATCATTTAAAATTTATCAGTCTGCTGTGTTTCCTTTAAATATTATATAGCTCAATGAATTTTTAGTGAATACTTCATGTTAAATTTACCGTTCTTTTTTAATTTTTAAATCTTCAGCTTTCCAGAATCATGGCAAACATTTTTAATTCTTTTTAAGAGAAAAAGATATGTTTCATGGAATAGGAACATCGCCATACAGTTTTACACTGATTTTATACGAGAAATTTTTTAGGGTAATGTTAAAATGTCTGAAGTTCCTCTTCCTGTTAAATCTGTAAATACAGTTGAATTGATATGTTGAAAGGCAACAAACTTAGTGAATGTTCAAATCATTAAAATTCTACAGCTGTTGCAAAAGGCATTTTCATTATTTTGACATTGTCTCTAGCTAAATTACGTGATACAAAACAAAATCTATATGTATAATATCGAGAATAGTTAATTTCATCAATTCACTGAAGTTTTTGTTAACAGGTAGAATATAGAGGATACAATGAAATTTTATTAACTTTTTATTCGGTTATATTAAATAACATAAATACACTCACCGGCACCTTAAAATTTTCATGTATTTTTAAAGTTTTATCACAGTTTTATACAGGGCCGTTCCTGGCGAGCGTGCAGTGCGTGCACGCACGTAAGCGCAACATTTTGGGGGCGCAAAATCGAAGTGTCAATCAGTACTTTGTAATAAAAAACCGATACGCTTTCTTGTTAATAAACATATATAATATTTGTTTATTAACAAATAAAATAAACATATAATAAACAATAAACATACATCATAGGATAAAGTTTGCTTAGCGTCTTTTTTGCGTTGGCCGCACCGAATAAACAAGTCTAGGGCAATCTGTCGGCAACACATTGATCTCATCTATTTATTTTTCATTTTATGGAAAGCACTGTTCATTAAAATGTTGTATCCTATGTTATAGGGCTTGTTTCTCTCTACAATTTCCTGTCTCACAATGTACCGTTTGTGTCGGGGAAGGGATCATAGTTTCATAGTTGTCGATTTTCGACAGAAATCAGTACATGTATATTATTTCGTATATTTTTTATTTTATTGATTTTATGGAAAGCACTATTCATTAAAATGTTGTATCCTATGTTATAGGGCTTGTTTCTCTCTACAATTTCCTGTCTCACAATGTACTGTTTGTGTCGGGGAAGGGTCATAGTTTCATAGTTGTCGATTTTCGAAAGAAATCAGTACATGTATATTATTTCGTATATTTTTAATTTTATTGATACTATGGAAAGCACTGTTTATCAAAATGTTGGATCCTATGTTATAGGGCTTGTTTCTCTCTACAATTTCCTGTCTCACAATGTACTGTTTGTGTCGGGGAAGGGTCATAGTTTCATAGTTGTCGATTTTCGAAAGAAATCAGTACATGTATATTATTTCGTATATTTTTAATTTTATTGATACTATGGAAAGCACTGTTTATTAAAATGTTGTATCCTATGTAATAGGGCTTGTTTCTCTCTACAATTTCCTGTCTCACAATGTACTCTTTGTGTCGGGGAAGGGATCAGTTTCATAGTTGTCGATTTTCGAAAGAAATCAGTACATGTATATTATTTCGTATATTTTGTATTTTATTGATTTTATGGAAAGCGATGTTCATTAAAATGTTGTATCCTATGTTATAGGGCTTGTTTCTCTCTACAATTTCCTGTCTCACAATGTACTGTTTGTGTCGGGGAAGGGATCATAGTTTCATAGTTGTCGATTTTCGAAAGAAATCAGTACATGTATATTATTTCGTATATTTTTCATTTTATTGATACTATGGAAAGCACCGTTTATTAAAATGTTGTATCCTATGTTATAGGGCTTGTTTCTCTCTACAATTTCCTGTCTCACAATGTACTCTTTGTGTCGGGGAAGGGATCATAGTTTCATAGTTGTCGATTTTCGAAAGAAATCAGTACATGTGTATTATTTCCGAATTTTAGTTTATTGTTTTTATGTATTTCATATAAAATGAGTCAGTTTTTTTCTTTAGGGTACTACTTTTGTTACTAAATATTTGTGGTTTTGTTTGTTTTATTTATTTAATAAATGTTTTTATACTTTAATTAGAATAGTTTTTTTTACATTTCCAATTACATATTGCTCGTTTGTCGAGATTAAGTCGTTTTTTGAGATTAAGATTAAAATATATAGTTTATTTAAATATAAAAAGGGCGCACCAAAGAATGCTGCACGTAGGCGCCAGATACCCCAGGAACGGGCCTGTCAATTTTAGTCAAATAATTCAGCTACAAATTGCTTAAAAAGTCATCAAAATCGGCCCAATACAACACAAAAATCTTTAAAATAAATTTTGAAATTTTAAGGTGCCTGCTTTACGTGCCGATGAGTCTTCCCTGTATTTCATGAAACGTACTGATATTTTTACTATTTTATTGGCCAGTTTTCTGTGAGTCAAAGACGATAAATACACTTTTCCAGAGACATATTATATTTTGGATACACTGTGTATGTATTTATTCCATAATCTCAAAGCTTCTAAGATAATTTTCCTGCAAGTGGTTGTCTTTTGACAGCCGACTTAAACTTATTCTTGTTTGTGTTTTAATTATTAAGACGGTGTTCAATGGCAAATGCTTAACTCTACTTAATCTATTATTTTTACTTCCCTGTTACATATTATTTATATTGTTAAATAGTTCCTTGTTCCGCATGAATCATAATATGTTTTCTTTAAATTATATTTTAAAAAATTATTATTAATTATTTTAATTATAAAAATTAAATTAAAATGTAAATGCTTCCTATGAGTTTACAGCCTAAACTCTCTTATTAAAGAGAAACATTTTTTTTTCAATAATATTGCAAATATACTTATAGAGATTGGGAACAAAAATAGACTTGGTTTTCATTTCTTTTAAAAGCCTGGACTTTGCAAAAAAATATATTTTCCTTCAGAATATTTATAGACTCTTAATTAATTAATGTTGATTATTGAATGTTCTCGTGTGTTTTTTTTTGCAGGATATGTTTTCACCATCATATCTAATATGTTATACATAGTTTGTTGTTCGGAACTAATATAAACAATTAGGTTATTTGTTGAAATATACACAGAGGATTGAATATTTATGATTAATTGCATTTCAGGCGTTTATTTTTGTTGAGAATATTTTTGAGATAAAAGGTTGATTTTCGTTTGGCTATATCCCGCTATAAGAACCGTTAATCAGGAATTTCTAATTAATTTAAATAAATGACTAATAATTATCGACTGTTTCGATGTTCCCATGTTATAAGCCACATGGTAACCCTTCGTTGGATTTAGGTACGTCACATAATTAATGACAATACTAGAACGCGGTTTTCATGATGATTTATCCAATATATTCGAACAGGTTTAAAACGAATTAAATAAAAATCAGGATTTATATTTACGTTGACGACTTATAATCTAGAACCAGTAGGTTTCTGAAGCTAGTAAGTGTTGTGCGTATAAATATTGTTTATTTGTTTGTTGTTTTTTAAACGAACCATTAATTTTGTTCAACCAAGCTAATTAACTTAGATGTTACTCATTAGTACTAACACTTTTACAGCCATGTATATATAAGCGCTAAATTGCATGGGGTTTAGATAATTTTTAGATAAACGTAATTTTTATAACTATAATTTTTAGATAAACGTAATTTTTATAACTATTTGTTTGAATTTAATAAAAAAAGTTGGTGGCTTAAAATCCGGAACTTCTCATCAAAATATGTATCAAAAACTATTCTTTTTTGATTTTTCCTTCTACTTGTAATTTTCTTTTAAGCTTATAAAAATAATAAAAACAGATCTTTTTATCAGTTGTAAAAAGGAAAAAAATACGATTATTTATTTTCAAATCCACCATTAATACCAATTTAATCTATGTGATATTTATTTTAAAAATACACGACGGTAAAAATTTTGAAAGTAGACAAAAACTACTATCATTCCAAATGAATTGTTTAAAAATTTAATTTATTTACGTTAGTTTCAATAGTAAATTATTGTAAGTTGGTACTATTTTTTTTAAATACTCAGGATGAAGTTTATTTGCCATCATACACTATTGTAATCTCTTAAGATTTTTGAAAATGTGACAAATTAAAGTATATTTGGACAGGAATATTTTCATAAATGTAAGTATATTTTTCTAAAAAATATGGTACTTTAGTTATTCTTTTGACGTCATTCTGTATTGAGTATGTCCTTTATACCATAATGTAACAATTTTTTTTTGAAAAAACCCAAAATGATGATAGGTACTTGACTTCTTTTAACATCACACTCTTTGAGAAGTTTCTTTATACCCTGTCCTTGCTAATCTACGAAATACTAAAAAATATATAATCAATGCTAGAGATAAAAAAGAAAAAAATAGTTATAATAATGTAATTAATTAATCAAATAATGAGTAAATTGTTAAGACATTTACATTTGAAGAACGCCTGGTAAAAAATTACTAATTAGCTAATACAGTAGGACGTCCTTAAAAGTTACCTATTTGATATAAAAGCAAAATTTACGTCTATTGTGTAGTGCGGTAGTAGTCAGGTGTTGTGTCATTGTGTTCCAGCAGATCAGCGTGCGTGTTTGATGAAATAACTACACAAACTTGGATACATCAACATCAGTACGGTACAACAACTTGTCTTCAGTGCTCTCAGTGAATGGTGCGTTAGTGAAGTTATAAAAAATTAGATTATGGTTAGGATTTTTTCTATATTTCTTCTAAGGTTGTATACTTTAAATATATATTATATTTTTTTAATTTAATATTTTTATTGTGCCTTTTTTTAATTCACAAATAATATCTTTATTGTGTTTGAGATAAATTAAATATAATTTATCAATAAAATTCTAATACGTATGTAACTAACATTTTTATTGAACCATTTTTTTTTAATTCAAAAGTAATGATTAATTTATGCATCTATTTACTATATCGTACAATATTGTACATAGGTAGCTTCCAATCAATCAATATGATGAATTAAATATCAAACAGATATGCAAAACATATATTTTCATTTAGAATTTATTATTATTGAGATCATGTTTATATTTTTTTTTCAATGCTTTGTTTAATTATTAATTAATCATTCAGTCATTAATTTTATTTACTATTATAATCTTTGCGACAGTTGTACATAAAGGCCAAACCAACTTAAACTGTAGCATTTATAATTAAATAATATATTACACCACATTGATAAAAAATTATATATTTTTTCTTACTTTAATTACTTCCCAGTAAAGAAATCAAAATATTTCTTACTATACAATTATACCACATACTGTAGATTTTATAAAATATTGTTTAATTGTTTAACAATAACAAATATTGATAAAAGTTCTATTTTTTCTTGAAAATTAATTTTCGTCTTGATATGTGTAACAACAAAATCGAGATTAATTAATTACTTAAAACATATTCATTCTTTCTGTAGCTCCTGTATATTTATTTTTATTTTATTTTTTCTTGATTATTCAATCATATTTTATTTTTATTTTTCAACCTAACCAGGTTAGAGACTCTCGCATCACGAAGGAAATAAAAGAAAAAAATATATATTAAAAATAACAAAATATAAATAATTATCACATACAGCTGGCAATCAGTTGTTAGATTTTTGTGAAGAGGGATATTCTCCTGTATAGCATACAAGAAATATAGGCACTCCTATGGAATGACGTTCCATAGGAGCGCCTCCTCTGGAATATTGTTCGTTAGAATTGTCTATGCTCTACTGGATAGGAGGCATAAAAGGGAGTCATACTCTATAGGATGATTCCATAGGAGACATATGAGTGCCTCCTATGGAATAATATTCAATAGATGGCATTCCTCTAGTCAGCAAGACTCACAATTGATAGCTCCTGTATATTTAATTTTCATTTTATTTTTCTAGATTATTCAACCATATTTTATTTTAAATTTTAACCTAATTAGGTTAGAGTATACTCTTCTCAGTCCCATTCTTGCATGCATCGCAAAGTAAATAAAATAAAAAAAGTATTAAAAATAACAAAATATAAATGATTATCACACACAGCTGACAATCAGTTGTTAGATTTTTGTGCTCAAGAGGGATATTCTGCTGTATAGCGTACAGGAAAATATAGGCACTCCTATATGGAATAACGTTCCATAGGAGTGCCTCCTGTGGAATATTGTTCGTTAGGAGTGTCTATACTCTACTGGATAGGAGGCATAAAAGGAGTCATACTCTATAGGATGATTCCATAGGAGCCATATGAGTGTCTCCTATGGAATAATATTCAATAGATGGCATTCTTCTATTCACTACCTGGCAATACTCACAAGTGGTATTATAGAAACCCAATCATTCAATGTGAAATAATATTCCATAGGAGTATCTATATTCTCCTGTACAGAAAAGGAGTAATATTCCATGAGACACAGGCAGTCCTCTGTCCACTACCTAAAAAATGTTAGTCCCAGTTTTAAACATAATTATTGAAAAAATTACTTAAAATGAACAACTTAAGTATCAGTACAAATGTTCAATGCATCAAAAAAGAAAGCGTATCTTCCTTGCCATTGTGACAAAGAAAACCATAACAATATAATTATTTTGTCTTGTTGTTAACTTTAAAACGAACATCGTCTTATTAGTGCGTCTAGTTGTGTCACTGTCAAGGATATACAATCAATAAAATTATTTTTATTCGACCAGTTCATTCCCTTTATGGCTAGAACGGACAATATATCTTTATTGTTTATTATAAATTATTAAAATTAAATTTATGTCACGAATTCATCAGATATTATTCACTCGAACTCGTGTGGCGGCATTCTAAATTTCTGCAGTTCATATTAAAAGGGTCGTTGTTTCAAATTTTTTAGTACCTATTCGCTATTTTAATTTATCTACTAAAAGGTTTGCTTTATTTGCGTTAAGGTGTTAACTATACATTCTGTGCTGATAATCGGAAATTATTACGTATTAAATATGTAGGTGGATAAAACACTAGAATCAAATTACATAGAGCGGTAAAAAGATACACAATGATTAGGTATTAGATCTGCATTTCACTACACACATATTTCGTAGCTCGTAGTTTAAAAATTCTTCTTAACGGTATAAGAATTTTAATTTGAATTCTAAGTGGATTTTTCTGTATAGTAGATGAATATCTGGGAAAAAGAAAATAATATTAACGATATTCTGAAATAGTAGGAAATGTTAAGTAAGTTTGGAATTAATATGTTTTTAATAGCTAGCTCAACATCGGGGCAATACCTCCTGACTCAGAAAAAAACATATTAACTGGTAAACTGGTTTTAACTGTGATGCCTTGGCAATCGACTTGTGTTTTAGTATTTTTTTTTTTCAAAGTGTTTGTCAATATTAGCTAAAGACAATGTAAACGTTGCGCCTCATACTTTTACGGATTATTTCTGCATGGATGATGCTATTTCACAAACTAATGAAGTATTGTATTTCAGATATTAACGTCATGTCGCTGAAACGATTGCCCTTCCGAACAATATCTTTATTTTTGTCTACTTAAATTGGTAAGTATTCAATTTCATTAATTACTTTTGTATAACCAAATATTTACACTCAAAAAAATTATTTAAACATAAAAAATGTCGTAAAAATTACGAAAATCTGACCATACTTGACACAGTCTAAGAAGGTTCTTCTAATGACGACACAAAAAATGTAGGTTAATATATGTATAACTTCTATTAAAATATTTAAAGGAATGTTTCAATTTAACTCACGCCTATCTGCTAAGATCAACGCCGTCAACGCGGTGTTTTCAGTGAGCGGAATATTTTTTTGTGAAGCTGTTTTGTCCATCTGCAGTATATTTCAAAGATGGCAATACCAGCGAGACGAATAGTATTTATTCTTTAGTATTACTGTGTTTCACTTTCACCAGATACGTTCTCAATGTTAAGGTTCTCAATCTCACAGGTGATAAAAAAATTACATTTCTATTCAATCTCATTCTATTCTACAGACTTAGAAAGGTAGTAATCCTAGCCATAAAATTATGAAAATTTTAGCATTTCAAGAAAATTTTATGTAGATTCAGAATATATACACCTTTAAAGACTTAGGTGTCTTGGTTTTGTGAGAAAATTAATTTTTTGGACCCTTGTTTTCAGTTATTTTTGATGATGGTTAAAACGTCTCCTACATCCATTACTGTTCTCGTAAGACTGCAATGGCCTATATTTTCTTACTCTATTCCTTTTAATTAATAAATAAAAGGAGTTTTATCAAAATCGGCGATTGACCAAAATCAACAATTTTCATGACTATATCAAACTTTTTTCTCTTCAAAAATTCCAGTATTCTTTTGATAACTGGAGCCAAATCTCCTCAAATCATACAGGATGTTTGATTTTGATGTTTAATTTTTTCTTTATATGTTATTAAAGCTCAAACTTTTGGTTATGTGAAAGCCTCTTATATTGGCAAAAAAGTTAATGGTCTCCAAATCTTCCACTATAAAAAAGGCTTCTAATGAAGGCAAAGTGAATAACCGCATACAAGAAAGAAGAACAAGAGCGTGACAACTACTCATCTTTGTCTCTAGAGTTGAAATTAAAGATCCTTCTTGGAAAATATAATTTCTGAATCTTCGTTTGAGATTGGCCCACGTGTGTGAGCCGTTTGTAAATCGGGAAATCCCGACAACCATTTCCTGTGTGACATTTTTTGATGTTTAAATAAATACCACATTATATTTCTAAATCAAATTTTAGTGCAGAATGTTAATTTAAATATATTCCCTTAAAATTTCATCATTTTAATATACTAGCATTAAAAATAGATTTATTATTATTGGCAATTGTTAGTTTAATCTATTCGAGTAATATTCGTACATCTATTGGCGTACGTTTATATAAAAACATTCTCAAAATAGTTAGTATTTATATTAACAATTCATATTTATTTATATTCCTATTTACAGCAGATTGAAATATGACAATCAGTCGCTGATTTACAGATTTAAAGGGCTACTATAACGCCACTTTTTTTGCTCGATAATGCATCGTGCTATGCCACTGAATAGACAAGAAATAGCAATGTTCAAACGAAAAATGCAATTCTATGGCCTGTGTAATCTATGTCTGTATTTCTCTAAAAAAGCTCATGTTTTAGAAATAATCCCAGGTGGCATTGAAAGTGGCGAAACCTTCGATTTTATTAAATATTACGTTATCACCTCTAGTAATATTACTAATATATTTAAATTTTCAATGAAGAGCTTAATGAAACAAAAAAAAAGACTGTCGGAATTTTAAGCACGATTAACGCGATTTTAATATTCATGAAGTACTGATTTTTAGTTCCGGAATTGTAATAGATAAAGGAAAAGTTATTTTTACGCATCTTACGCCTGCTAGATTCAACAAAATTATTTTTAACACGTGTTGACATTCCATTTTATATATTTTCTTTTTTGAATAAGGAGAATTTCTTGCTTCCTGCATTATTTTTTCTTTCATTTAGATCTTTAAAAAGTGCTTCCTTTTCGAACAAAAGCGTCAACGTTCATTTCAACGAGGAAAATCTGAATGAAAAGACGGTTTTCCTAGTTTTGCATAGCGAGTTTGGTACTGTAAAATACCTTTCAGCGTGAAATAAAAAGGATTCGAAGTCAACAGGGCGTCAGATTTTTAATATGAGAGTTTTCCTTTATAAGGGATGTTGGGAAAATATGTATTATTCCATATTTTCCAGCTTTATCATATTTTTTTCTCTCTAAACAAACATTGAATAATAAAATATACTCACTCTTTTATTAAGAGTTCGTTATAATCAGCTGTCTAAATAAAACTTCACAAAGATAAAAAATATATGGATTATTCTTCAAGAAAAGCCAAATTCTCCTACTGACATCAATAATTATTGTTATTTAAAACAATGACCAAATCTCCGAACTAGATATTATAGTTCTCTAGAAACTTCTAAAGCACGCTCAGCCTGGGACACCCTGTCTATCTTTTTTTACTTGTTTAACCGCAACAATATATTTGAAGTCCTTCTCTTAAAGTAAACTTTATATGAGTAAGTTCGGAGTATTTGGTGATCGAAAATCCCGTTAAAAATTGTGCAATGGGACACATTTTTATTGGAATCAAGGGATTTAATACGCCAATAACAATTTTGCATGCACGTGAGTGTTGTCGACTTACGTTACACCTAAATGTTTTCGTTTGGTTTGTGCAAATTGAAAAGGCTATCCGACGATGTTGCTTAAAAAAGGTATTCTTTTGAAATTGTTTATTTTTGTTTTGAATATAAATTTCATTTCATTGTCTGTTGGCGCGCACAAAACACTTAGCACTGAATTGCTATTTATTATTATACGTTATTAATATATTTTTCAAATAAAATAAAATTCAAGGTGTTTTAACTTATAAAACATATTGGCGTAACAGTTTAGTGCAGCCAGCTTATTCAAAAATTTAAATAAATCATCTATTATTATTTCTGTGGTTTTGTGGATCACTGGTATAATTGCCTTAAAAGCATTTATTAATGGTCATTTAACGTACTTAGTTTCTACAGATATAGGGGTAGTATGCTAGTAATAATACAAGTTACTTCTTAGGACTGAGAAACATACAGGGTGTTTCAAAAAACATATGCCATCTCTCGTGGGAAGATTCCTCTCGTAAAAATACTATTATTTTTTTTTAAATTATTTTTCATATTAACATAGATCCCATTCTGCTTTGTTTCGTAGCTACAAGAGTTTAAAATCTTCATTTTTTTTCGATTTATTATAATTTTCTTCCTTGCTTTTAGTGATTCGAATGCAATTTTAAGAGTAAAAGTTATTATAAGTGCGAAATATCTATATTTTACTGCTAAAAAAGTGTCGACAGTGGCAGATACAGAGGGGGGGCCCATAGGGCCCGGGCCCCCCCTAAAATCTGTAAATTGGGTTAAATATTAGACTTTTGGATTAAAAATGGCGCTCTAAAAGGCATATTTTGCATTATTTTTTATTTGGGCCGCCCCTAAAATAAATTTCTGTATCCACCCCTGAGTGTCGACATATTTACCAGGGACGTGCATAATATGGGTTATCTCTGGAATATTTTTTTAAACAATATGTGCGCCACTGACTTTTTTCCTCTTATTAGCAAAAGTGTGTAGGTCATTTAATGCCGATTAAAAGTTGTGTCTTGATATTTTGTCCATTTTGATCTCGATGAGATAAACGCATTTTAATTAATTTACCTTAATCCAATTCTAACTAGTAACCTTTAAACATTTTTAATGTCATTAGCTTGCCAAAATGTAAGTACTTATTGATACTGATACATTGTATAAAAAATCGAAAAAAATTAAGACTTCGAACCTTTTGTAGCTACGAAACAAAGCAGAATCGGACCCATGTTGACATGAAAAATAAATCTTATTTTTAGGTGGGGATTATGAGATATGGGGCATATATTTTTTGAAACGCCCTGTATAAGGGGATTTTTATTTATTAACAAGAAAAGAGCGTTGATTTCTACGCTCCATATACCAATTCCAATTAATTATTCTACCATACATTTATTAAATGAAAAAAAATATATTTGATTAAGCGCAAGGAAATGATGAATTTTATTTCAATTATTTTTTTTTTTGAACAAACAAATTATTATGCAATATCCATTTATATAATTATTCTTTAAAACTGTACACATCAAGTTTATAGTAACTGTTTGGTTAAAAAAGTTGTATTTATAATTTAACATTTCTATATCTTCTTCACTTTCAATTAACATTTTCTTATAATAAATTCCTTTAGGTGTATTTGAACTTTTTTATATTTTTTGAAACAATCTAAGGTTTAAAACTTTAAGAAATTAGTTATATTTTCTCGATAAGTGTTTGAATCTTCCAGATTTTTATTTTTAGTCCATTATATTTGATGGTGGATATTAAAAACTTTTTTCTGTTATTTGCAGGTATGGGGGTGCCATGGCCATTCCAAGTGCGTTGTTTGCACTTGGCATTCGCCTTTACCGTTGTGATACTGGTTTTCTTCTTTTTCTCTTTAAACCCATCTACGCTGAAACCGACCATACCACCCACGCGGTCATTCCTTACAGCAGAAACGCGCATGCTCCAAGGTAACATTAGTTTCTCCGGTGTGCACAACGGCACATCATCAGAGGTGCCCCCTCTGCCTCAAATCTCCGCTCATTCGAATCACACCACCAACAGCCACTCACCCACCTTGGACCTGACTCAGGGCGTGCCAGCCCAGTTCATCTACGAGGCTGGCCACATCGACGTGAGTGCTGACGTATGTCCCGATCTGGGCAAGAACGTCAAGCTTCTGATCGCGATTACGTCAGCACCGAGCCATGACAGTGCCAGGGAAGCAATTCGGAAGACTTGGGGTTCGTTCGCCAGAAGAAAGGACGTAGCTATAGCCTTCATGTTGGGATCGATCTCTAACGAAACGATCAACAAGAAGCTCGAAGAAGAACAGAACTTGTACGGTGATATTATTAGAGGAAAGTTCATAGACACTTACGACAATCTCACGTTGAAAACCATCTCGATTTTGGAGTGGGTGGATAATTACTGTCCTAAAGCAGGATTTGTACTTAAAACTGACGACGACATGTTCATCAACGAGTCGCGTCTTTTGGCTTTCATAGCGAAACACAATCCAGAGCAAAAGACCATCTACGGTCGCCTAGCTAAGAAATGGAAACCAATTAGGAACAAAAAATCAAAATACTATATCTCTCCTCAGCAGTACAAGCCGCCGGTGTTTCCAGACTTCACCACCGGTCCGGCGTATCTACTTCCAGCTAATTTAGCCAAACCTCTTTATCTGTCAGCTTTAAATCACACCTATCTCAAACTAGAAGACGTCTTTCTTACCGGCATCGTTGCCAATGGGCTTAAAATCAAAAGGGTTCACGCCCCGGAATTTCTGAACAAAAGAGTCCCCCTCACGCCTTGTAACGTTCAAAAAGACATTAGTATCCATATGATAAAAAGTGCGGAACAATTCGACCTGTGGAAGAAACTGCACGACATAGCCAAGTGTAAAAAGTGATATTTAAATAGAAGAAATTTTTGGAGATTAGTTTTTATTATATAAATAGTTACTTATTTGTTAACAGTATTTATTTTATGTTAAATTATTTTTCAGTTTAAATGTTTTATTGTATTCCCTTGAAAAGGTTAGCCGAAGATTATAAACAATTTTATAAAGAAATAAAAAAACAAACAAATATATACCTATTGATGTAATAAAGCTGTGAATTTTTCTCTTAAGTATTATATACATTCGTATGTACTTAAAATATAAATAATGTACAATTTAACTCGATCTATCTTGAAAAAATAAAAAACATATGAAGATAAAAATATATTTTCTAATTGACATGAAATTTCCAACTTTTATATTGCTATTATTTACTTTGTATAGAAGATAAATTCAAATACAGCCTTGCCTCAGTAGACATGTTCTCTAAAGTTCACTAAAACTAATTCAACAAATTAAGATATTCGAATATACATACATACATAACACAGATGTATGTATGCACATGAAATATGCATATATATGATACATACACCTAACTCTGTTAGATTATAATTAAAAAAACTGTTTAACAAAGTTAGTTAAAAAAAATCATATCTCCCCCCATCATTGATATTTACACAAATTTCTAGCCAAATTTTCGAATATCCCCTATAACAAACAATAACACTATGATGGGATCTAGTAGTAAACAACTCTAATCTCAAAACTTGGATGATTTTGTTTGCCTATCCAAATTGCGCGATTTCTTATGATGTAAATAAATTCAAACAAATAACGCTTCAACGGATTATAAAAAAAATTTAAAATAAATATAAAAGGTTTTATTCTACACACTGAGATATCAAAAAATATTGGTACTTCCTCTTAGAATTTTTTTTCTATTAAACACCAGTTAAACACATTCTTAATTAATCGATATGCAATAAAATGAGCAGAAAGAGTGAGCGCTATTTAACCATATAATAATTACATTTTTATATTATGTACATAAAACAATGAAACTCAAACAGCCTTAAAACTACTTTTTACAAAAAGTATAATCAATCAGGCATAATGGGTTTCTATATTATGAACATTGTAATTCATAAAAGCCATCTGTGCGTATTGATAGAGAAGATAACACAATTGTATCTATGAAAAAATATATGTGGACGTAAATATAGGAACCTTATATCTTTTTATTTTTTTCCGTACTGATGAACTTCATGTGCTTACAAGCTTGGCAACACATTCAAAAATATTCTGAGTGATGCCAAAAAATAATGATACCTTAAATAATTAAATATAAGTTAAATAGAAGCCGGATGAACCTTCTTTAAGTAGAAAAAGCAGTTACGTACATTTTTGCCAAAATGTAAAAAAATATATTAAGTTACTACATTTATAAACAATTCCAAACTTTCATATCAAAGAATGTAAATAATACAAAAGCTAAAAATTTAAGGAACATAAATTGATATTGGTTATTGACATGACGTTAGGAATTTTTTAGTATGTACTTATATACAGTAGCTACGTAATTCAGTTCCAATTGTTCTTATTCTGTCTAAATTCTATACATGAAAAATCAAAAAAAATCGTTGTATATTCCTTTGCAGAAAGGCTTACTTACTCCCTGCTTTCTTCATTGGGCATGGGAACATACACAAAAGAATTTACTTCTTCTAATACTAATTCTGGAAAATATAGTATGGAAATTTATTTCATCTGTGAAAATAAAGAATTTTTTAGTATACTTTTTATTTACTTACCTCTCCACTGTTCAACTGGATAATTTATTGTTTCTTCACTTTGATCAAATGGCGCTGATGTTGGTTCATCATTTGGGTCCGAATAAGCTGCCAAATAAGGATGTGCGAGCGCCTGTTCAGCTGTTATACGTTTTTCGCTATCTATTTCTAACATAAGACTAAGTAAATCTACAGCTTTTGGATTTGCACCGTAAAAATATTGGAAAAGATCTTTTTTATGCATTGGAGGTAATGATTTTATGTAATTTCTAGCCTAAAATGAGAAAAATTGCTACAAAATACTCTTTCCTTCAAAAAATTTAAGGCTTACACTTTCAGATGTGATCCTGTTCATAAATTCCTCGTTTGGAGTGCCTAGTATTTCCATTATCAAATTAAGCTGATGAATATCTATACATACGTTAAGAAAATATTTTATTAATCATTATTTAGTATTAAATCTAAATAAATGAAGGAAAGGATACGATCTGTTCCTGGAAACAATGTTTTTCCAGTCATTAGTTCTGCCATAATACATCCAACAGACCAAATATCAACAGTTTGATTATAATGCATCCAATTCAACATTATTTCTGGAGCTCTGTACCATCTTGTGGCAACATAGCCAGTCATTTCTGTTTCTGTAGGCCTTGCCAAACCAAAATCTAATATTTTCAGTTCACAATCTTCATTAACTGCTATGTTTGATGGTTTCAAGTCCTATAAAATGTAAGTATATAAAAATGGTAAAGATTTCAGTGACTAAACTAACTCTATGGATAATGCCTGCAGAGTGAATGTACTTTAATCCTCTCAAGATCTGATACACCAAAAATTGCACATGATCATCAGTAAGCCTTTGTGTGCGAATTATGTTGTTCAAGTCAGCCCCCATTAAATGGGTAACCAAATAAATCTAAAAAATATAATATATTAATATCAATGTTTATTTAAGAATTAGTTGTTATATACTTGACTATTATCATGTCTTGGATAAAAGACATCTAGGAGCCCTATGACATTTTCATGACGCATGTGTTTCAACAATTTTAATTCTCGATATGTCCTCTTGGCATGGACAGCAGTCTGAAATGGACGGGCTAGCTTTTTTATTGCCACTTTCTTTTTAGTTTGGCTATCAACAGCAGAACTAAAAAGGACAAATGCTTGGTAAATTATCAAGTGATAATGTAATATGATCTGTAACATTATAGTTATTAAGTCAAACTTGAAAATTGTTTATAAATAATTAATTTTTATTCTGGCATTGAAGATATGGGGCACAGCTACCCATAACCTCACAATAAAGTTTTCTATAGTAAGAAAAAGTTAATTTTTCCCTAAAGTACAAATTTCTAAATCGGCTTTAGATTTCATAACGATTTTAAATCTAATTTTGTGATTTAAGTAGGATAAAAATAATCAAAATGGGGGTAAATTTTATGTAGGTGTATACATACCAAACTTGGCCGTATGCTCCTGAACCAACTGCAGATAACTGTTGATATCTCACCGGAACTTCCCATACAGTTTTATTAACTTCCACTTTATAAAAACTTGTCATTTTCCACAATTTTTACACGAAAAAAATCTAAAAACCTGTCAAATTTCGGACATTCGGGTGGCTTGCATTGAAAAAGGACGGCCAATCGCGTATTGTTCTCCTCACTGTACTGTGAGAAATGTAGGATTGTGATTGTGAAAAACTGAAATAAACATATCTATGTTATTGTAATTGGGAGAGAGAGCGAAAATACACAACGGCTCCAAAATAAAATCATATAACCGCCGAATTTTGTTATTTTTATATACGTCAGATAGTTATTTATGTTTAGAAAAAAATAGAACTACGGTATTTTCTAAATTTACCTAATGATTTACTAATAAATGTTTGATAAATTCATGGCGAAATTTTTAAGAGAAAGTAAATTGGACACCCTGTATCCTAGTTGATGGGAGATGGGAGCCATACAATTTAAAAATATTTATTTATATATTATTTGATATTTAAAATATATGGTAATAATTACACATATGTATAGCTCACATAAAAAGATTTACAGAAAAATGTTAATATTTAAGAATTTAAACAAAATATAAAATTATTATTTGATATAATTCTTGTAAAATTCTCATAGTTAGGCAACTAAGAATACAAAGTGTATTTAAAAGAAGACAGAAAAAAGTAGGGTTAAGGTTTTAGCGGTTTTTAAAAATATTTAAGCATACTTTTAATGTTGTAATTTGTGTTTTGATAATTTAATATAACAAAATGGAAAGACATAATCCTATGACACCTAAATCTAGAAGTAGCCGGCAAAGTAGTATATATGGTCGAGACATGTAAGATTTTTGATAACAAAATTTAAATGTATGTTCCTATAATTTTAAATTTCAGGCGTCCAAGAGTGTCTGCTGTTAATACTGTTTTAAAAACACCTTTACATATCGTAGAAAGGTATGGAATGCCAGTCCCAGTTTTAATAGAAGAAGCTTTTGCATTTTCTGATAGTATGTATATAATGAGTTGTTAACAAAAATACTTCACGCACTTATTTTAGGAAATGCAATTATAACAGCTAAGATCTCAGACTGTGGATATGCTTGGGTTGTTTGCGGTAGAAAGTTGTTAATGTGGCAATTTCAGCTGTCTTATCTAGGGAATTCTCCCAAGCAAAGAAAGTTTCCTATTTGCTATGAACTAAGACTACCTCAAAGTGATCTTGCACATCGTGCAGAACTAGTAGCTGTATTTTTTAATAGAAATGCAGTTCATCCATCATGTGTAGCTGTCTCTCCAGAAGGTATGTTGCCAATATAATATGAATTGATACAAAAATGTCTGTCCTTTATGATAGGAATGGTCAGATATTGGTCAGATGTTACCCAAGACCACTGCTCTGTTGATAAACATGTAGATTTAAATGGCCAAGAATGTGATAGTCTTATTTATATTGGTGTAATGGGTTGTGTATTTGTAACAACAACCTGTACTGTAGTTTTGGTACAACACAAGCAGGGATATTATGGACCAGAAATCCACTGCAAAACTTTGAAAACATCTTCCAGCTGGTTGGGAGGGATAAGCAGAAGGGTATCTTCAATATTTTTTGGACCTATGTCTGCTGATCAAGGAAATGAAACAGTAAGTAACTTTTATTTTTTTCCATTTTTTGTTACATGAACTGTTTCTAAACAGATTAGAATTTTTAGAGAATCATTCGGCTTCTGTCTGTACCTGGCATACAACAGATTGTTGCAGTCTATGTGTTGGCTGGTCTAACTTTTCAAAAATGGTTACTATCAGATCAGGAAACTGAACAACTAATTTGGACTACAGACTTATCTAGGTCAATAAGGGATGCCTTTAGACTGAACGTTAATCATTGGGATGGATCTGATTACATGGATGTCGATATATGGATATTAGACATACAAACTGATCGTGATGGAGTACTTATGTTATGTGCTGCTGTCAATCTCCATATGTCTCCTCAAGTAAAGCAAATTAAATATTGACTTCTTCATTAATTATTTCTAAATAGTCTTATATTTCTAATAATCCCAAAGGTTCTTGCTAATACTCTATTAAAAATTCAACATTTTAATTACCAGGTTTACTATGCTATGGCCTCCTTATCCACTCAAGGTGCAAATCCGCCTACTCAACTAAAAGACTTTTTATTACTAAATTTAATGAGTCTATATAATGATGATAATCCAGGTGATGCTTTGAGTTGGAGGTTTATCATGTCTGGGAGCAATGCCTATGTTTATGGTCCGAAAGTCATAACAGTGATAAAACCTCAGGAAGAAGTTGATACTCTAGCATTTCATAACGCTAATGATCATCTATTCAGTAATGATATATCATTATATTTGTTTGTCTTATAATCTAGAACTACTATTTTTAGATGGTGCAACGTGTTCTGGTCATCCCATATTCTTTTCAAAGCAACATGGACTAGTTACAATAAGTACTACTGGAGTTGATATGAGTTTATCTCTTACACCTCACACATCAATTTTGGAAACATCCCTCCATGATCAGTCTTTGGCTACCAACAATCTCTCTGTATATCACATGAATCCACATGAAATGTATACTGCTCATAGAGATACAGCTGGTCAGCTGAAAGCAGCCTTTATATTTCATGTTAAAAACGAATTGGTGGGTATTTTCATTTTCCAACTAAGTTACTGTGATATGAAATACTTTGTAATTTTTAGACTGAATGTTATGATGTGGTAAATAAACTCTTTCCTAGTGATATACCTTTAGTACCTGGCTTTGATGGACCTTTAGATACAGCTGTAGTAAAAATAGGTTGCGATATTTTGGATGATATACCTGCAGGAGATCCAAGATGGACTCACGGGGAAAGAAGCAGGCAAGGAGTTGGGAGTTCTCATTCAATGCTTGTCATGCATCAGCTTGTAGACAAGCAAAAAGCTTTCACTCTTTTTCTTAACTTTCTTAAAGAGTCAGGTCTATGGGATAAATTAGCTGGAATCACTGTGAAGGACAACCAAATGACTACGATACATAGACTAGCTGAGTTTGCAGAAAAGAACACTGCAGCCATTGTAATGAAAGGTTTACCAATAACATATATGTTTGAAACTACTTTGGGGAGTGTTGTGAAACATTACAATACCGAAACTGGCTCTAATCTTTCCAACCAAGACATATTTTTTAGAGAAGTTAGTAGAATCCATGAGGGTATTAATTGCCTGTCGAAAATATGTGAAGATATTGCACATTCAGGATCTGGTCCTATGAATGTTTCTGCAGCTATTCAAGAAGCAAACAGTATAATCCTCAGTGTTCTAACAGAGGTTCTTCAATACAGAAAACAACAAAAAGTATTCTTTAACTTAACAGATGTGGCGAATTCACTGAAACTAGAATATCTCCCATGGACCGCTGCTGCGGGTTCAGAAGGCTTAGCTGATTCACTAATGTTGCAGCATTCACTCACAATAAATTATGGTTTAAAATTAACCACTCAAGCTCAAGAAGATTTAAGGGCACAACTGATAGATAACTTTGTCCTATTGACAGATGTTATTTTGGATGGAAGAAAAAATCATTTAGCCAGTGTCGCGCCTGGTGGCAGAGAAAAAGTTCTATATAAACAGTATTGTTCTGATAGACATAAGTTGATCAAGCCATTAGTTGAAGAGAAAGCATATGAGAGGGCTGCAATGTTGGCAGAAAAATATCTAGATTTTGAGATTCTTATGACAGTATGTGAACGTATAGACAGTGAAGATAGATTAAACGAATACATGCGCAGATTTAAAGATACGGGATTTCCAGAATTTGTCTATAGTTGGCATCTGAAACATGGAAAGCCAGCAAAACTGATAGACAGGTTTAAAAAATATTGATAATAGTTGATAATATCTAAATAAAATGTAAAAATTGTAGGTATCGCCGTGTTGGTGGTCAAGTTCCCGAAGGCCAAAACAGGCTGAGTAAATTCTTAGTGTCCTATCCAGAAATTGGTTGGATTCAACAAATTTTCGATAAAGACTTTTCGGCAGCTGCTGAAACTTTAAAAATACTTGGAGAAAAGGAATCGGAACGTGTCACTAAACAGAAGACCGCATTTAGTCTTAGCAAGCTTGCTAAACTAGCTGGTAAAAAATATGAGGTTTTTATTTTAGCCAAACATAAATTTCTTTTGATTTTTAGCACCCAATTCTGAGGACACAAACAAACACTTGGACGAAATCAACAAGCGTTTGGAATTAATAGCATATCAAGAGCAAGTCCCTGACTATGTGCTTCAACAGTATGGTTTTGATGCAATAAACCCTAGAGTTTTGCACCCCAAAGACTTAATTGCCTTATATACATGTACTGAATACACAGACGCGACAGAAGTTGACTTCAGAAAAGCCCTAGATGTCGCTAAATATATTTCCGATGAGTACGAAAAAATTGAACTTGTCTTACAAGTATGTGCTTTTTTGGAGTGATAATAAAATCAATTATTAAGTTTCTCTTTTTTTTTAAGATATGGAGAGCAGCATTATTGAGAGACACTTGGGAATTCCCTAACTTAGATTCGCCATTGGAGTGTCTTCAGGCTACCTTGTTTTTCAAAATCGTCGATTTGTCTATTGTTCTAGGGGCGGATCCAACTAACTTGCTTCCTCCTCTTGACATGCTGATTGATGATACCTCCCTAAATGATCTAAATGATAACAAGAATTTCCAGTCTCTTTTGAAAATGGGCTATGAACATTTTCACAGGACTCAGTTGTTATAAGTATTATTAAGTCGTTAATTAAGTTAATATTTTCGTTACAAATTATTCATGTAAAGTAGTTTTGTATGCATTATTAAATTTTTGAAATAAAAATACTGTTATTTTATTTAAATTTTCATCAGTTACCGTACTAATAAAACACAATCCTCGATATTTAACGACGCATGAGCAATGATAGCGTCATTGGATATCGGTTCATGTTCATTCTAGAATTTAGAACCGCGGTAGTCCAAAGAATTATAAAATATATAAAGATAATAAGTAAGAATATATAAAGAATATAGTTATACCCTTGATTAAAGGGTTATACTTACTTCTATAAAGAATATAAGTAGAGAACTCAAAATCAAATATAAATAATGAACCCGTATTTAACCAGTCCGTGATTTAAAGGTGATTTGCAATTAATATATTCATTAGGCCAAAAGTCAAACTAATTTAAATTGTAGAAAAAAATAATTTAGTCGTTTCTAAGATTTGTAGTAGCGTATTTAGTATCTTGTCTTTGTTTTTCTGCATTTTTTTTTCTATACTCATGAGTAGTAAATTTTATAGTGTCATGTTTGGGAAAGAAATAAAAAAAGACATTAAGAAGGAATCATGTTGTTTTTCACAGGTATATAAATGCAACATTTATTGTTAAGATAAAGAAAACCTTATATTTACAATATAATTTTAGCGTAACAACGAGCAATTTTGCGCAAGATATATGTAAATGCATAATATTATGTCTGATTATATATTTTTTGAGTAAAAGAAAATGGTTCATTGGAAAGATTTATGATAGGGGATTTTTTATTTATAAAAAAAGAAACGCATAAAGAAAATGAAAACAACGCGTGTCTACGGCATCCCCACCCCTGAAAAAATTTCTCATTGCGCACACAGAGCGCTCGAAAACTGTGTGAAGCGCGTTTCATGATTTGAATGCTTACTTCAATTCATACTTGTCGTGAATTAAATTCATCAAAATCGTCCAAAGCCAGTGGTGCGTCTTACAAACCCCAGTGATTTTTTTCGAACGTTATTTGGACAGCCTGTATAGAGTGTCTTGTTTAAAGTGGTTGATTTAACCCTACTTCAGCCGGTTTTTGACCTGTCATCCTCATCCTATTCATAGATCAGCTGATGGACATTTGTTTACATGGTAGTGGTCAAGCAGTGTGTGCATCGTTCGCAGTGTTTTTGTGACAAAAAGATGTATTCGAAACCGTGGAGATGAACAAAAAGAAAAGCAAAAAGCCGGTAATATAAAAATTGAAGCGTTGAGAACATTTTAGGTTAAGACAGTAAACAGTAACAAAAACAATGTTGTGTTTGAAAAAAGTCTACAGGGACGAGCTGCTTCAGCTTGCCCTCATAATCAGTTTACTTCGGGTAAACCAGGACTCTGTGTACGACAGTGATATTTTCGGTGGAAATGATTTAGACTTTGATAATGGTACCACATGGCGAAGCTCCATAACACCAGCTGTACTGAGAAGCCACTATGTGAATCCTAAAAGCCTGGATTCAGTCCTACTGAATTATGAGAGAGAATTATTTGCAGACTTGAATTCCCTTGGGAGATACAACCGGGGGAACTACAGACACACGGATGTTCAGGCCTATTTATTGAATATCGAAAGAAGCAATGTACCAACTGGTGAGACTTTAACAACTCCACAACCCCAGAATGCTACCCAAGAGGCCCTTGGAGAATCACTAGCGTCTCCAAGTGATGTAACAGATTTAGAACTTTCACAAGAGGTAAGTAAATCTGAAACAAGCACCATAATAGATAAAACATTACAAATTAATTGCAATAAATTCTGATATACATGGCTTGAGAGATTGTGTAGAAAAGTTGTTAACCCTACAGACAAACCATACCATAAAAGATAATATATCCTAAAAAGGCAACACTATGCTTTTCTTGCATCCAAGAAATTGTGTGTCAATGAATTTTTTATTTAGAATTACTTCACAGTTCAGTATCTTGTCCAAATTTTTATTCTAAATTCTGAAATGCTTCAGTCAAAAAGGCAGCAAACAATGTAACATAAAAACAAGTTTATTTTGAATTAACAAATGATTTAAATTCTAGGTCATCGTTTTATATTATAACTATTGTTTTGTGGTTTAAGTATATAAAAATATATATGTGCATATGAATCCATATTCTTTATTGGTGACATTATCCACCCATTCTTAGATTAATTTCAATTTTGTAGTGTTAACTCTTTTATAAAAAAATAATGATATTGTGCTTTTGGTTCACCCTATATTATTTAATTAACTTAATGTTATCAAACATACCGTGCGCTTTTGAAAAGTTTTATGAAGTCCAAGTTGGCTTTTTCTTTGACCATTAAAATAGTCCAAGATTTGTATTCCTGTTATGGAACAATGCATGCTTAGTATTTTTTATATACAAAAATGAATTATAAGACACAAAAGTATATCGTAAAACGGGTTAAATAAATTTAAAACATAACGTACTTTGTTGTACTAAGTTGAAATTCAGAAAAGTAATTAAAAATAGTATTCTGGTAATTAAAGAAATATTTTTTCCAAAAATTATTTCGAGCAAAAAGTCTAATTAAAAATCAATTTAAATGGGACCTTGGCAGAGACATTGCCAAAATCTAGGTTATTTTTTATTTCATTATTTTACTCTAGGGAATTACAGTATTTTCTTTGAAGTTAAATAAAATGTTTGTTGTTTATATCAAACCCAAAATCAAAAGATTTAAAATATCTACTAAATTTGTTGCTGCCTATCAAAACGTCTATAATATACTAACTATAATTAAATTATTATTTATAATAAAACATTTAAGTATTAATATGAAATAAAGTAATGAATTCAAAATAAGGTTAATTACCTTATATACGTAAATTATATTTAATTGAAACAATGTTTTTTTATGAAGTATGAATAAAAACAAGCATTTTTAATAGTTTATACATTATACATACGTTTTTTAAAGTTAACTTTCCAAAAGTTGTATGTTTAAATAATATAATAATTGTTTCGCATGATGAAATACCCAGTTATAATAAATCTTTTTTAAAAAAATGCTTCTACAGCTTTCTTTGTGTATGGATGATTTCGAAACATGTTATAAAAATACTCTCATATACGCGTGAAGCTTGAGTGAGCTTCAATGTTTTGCTGTCAAAAATAATATATATCTAATATTTGTAGTCCTATATCTAATATTTGCAGTCAAAAACGTGACTGTATTTTTAGGTGTACTTATTTCAATATCAAGTCCACAGTTCTACAACCGTATATACTTTAGCTAAGTCAAATAGTGCTTTTTATAACTTGCCATGTGTCGTTCTTATGTCACTGACCTATACAGGTAAAAAATGACGCCTTGGCTTATTCCCAAATTGGTTTGAACTAAAAATATAGACCCTTTTTTCTTTTGATGTATCTTACTTTGGAAACATGCGATACAGTAAAACATTAGTGCGAAATACATAAGTCACCTTGATTCTTGTATAATGTAGATCAAGTTTGTTTAATTAGAACACTGCAGTTTCTGTTTCATTTCTCATCAAGGCAATTTCAATTTAAAAAAAAGTAAAATTTCTACTATTTATGAAAACTGTGTAGGTGTAGTAAAATTTCTTTTGATATTTTGGTTTGTGGTATTTATTCTTGGTTCTCCTTAATTTTATCTAACTTTTATCAGTATTTAAGGATAACTGCACTGCACAGATATGTATAAAGATGTGTGAAACATGAAAACCCACAATTTTTGTTTTTAAATTTTCCCTTGAAGAATTTATACCGTATGTCTAGTAAAATAATGATAATAAAAAGATATTTAAATGAATCCAAGCTTCGCGTGCTCTAATTTGAAATATATCTGTGCACACGATTTTTTGAAGGCCGTTTTTTGTCTCAAACATCATTCAAATCGTATTTTTGGTCCTCGAATGCAGCATGCTGCACTTATTTCTAAAAATAGCGCATTTTTTTATTGGCATACAATCAAAGAGGTCAAAGGAAAATATACGTACTACGTACAGCGGTAGGCATTGGAAGTATCCTGTTTTAATTTTTTCAAAATACATTTTTGAAACCTAATTGATAATAATAGAATAAAGAGACAAACAAATCCTCTTTGTTTTTGAATTTGAAACACGCATATTATACTTGGCTTTTAAATTTATTTACTGGTTTATAATTAACTTATGGGCAGGATTTTTTTTTCTTTCCCGTAGAATAAATTATGAAAATCCATTCACTGACGTATCAGTATTTTCGTCATTGGTATTGTCTGTTAAAATCTATTTTACATATTTTTCAAAACTATATCTTAATAAGTCCACGTTACAAAATACCAAAATACATTTTTTGTGAAAGCTAAAAAGGAATGATGTTCTGAAATCTTTTTCGGTTATGTTTCTTAATATCAAGCCTATTTTATATAATTTGGAATATACATTTTCGTTAAAAAAAAAATGAAATTTTGGAATTTTTTTAATTTTCATTTAAAAAACATAATTTCTTGACAATATGGCAACATAGGTAGTAGATTAAAATTAACAAGAAAAAAAACAGAAAAGATCCAGTGGTTCTCAAAATGTAAGGAAAAGAAATATATTTTTTAAAATTTTCAAAGTAAAATAATTCGGTTATTTTGGACTTATTTGAAAAAGGGTAAAGAGAAAATACGTTTCTTTTATCGAGATCTACCAGCCCTGAAAATATTTGCACTAAGACACACCCTGTATAACGTTACCACAAACCTAAAAAAAAAAGTTCCTTTTGAACTATAATAGAGGGTAGAGGTATGAACATATATGCCCTAAGATGCCGTCTGAGGAGGTACAACCCTTGAAAGCCTTTGTAGCCCTTACAGTCCTCACTTGACACATATATCGGTAATTTTTAAAGCATATCTGGTATGTAATTGCATTGTTAATTGTTTTAACACACTCCGTTTAAATTCCTACTAGTTTTATCTACCCTTCAAGGGCTGTAATTTTCTCTGGAAGCATCTTAGGGTAATATATTCATAGAAACTGTTTCATTTTGATTTGTAGAATCACCTAACAACAGATAAAACTTATCTTAAGGTGTATTGAACAACAAAATATTAAATTAGTCAGATAACTGTAAATAAACAAAGTCTTTTCTCATTTATATATTCATCTTCACAACAGTAGTCGTAAGTAAATAAGAAAAATTGGAAAGCTCTTTACTTATATCGCCATATCCGAAGATGATCTCACTTCATGTATGTAGGTGTACAACTACCTGCTTTTATTCGTCATTATTTAGTCTAAAAAATAATTGTTTTATATTTTTATGTTAAGGTAACATTATCAATAAATAAACAAGATATGTTTATATTGACACCGTCTGGAATTAATATTTTTGAACATTTTGTTGGTCATAGATCTCTCTCATTCTTTGTTAAAAAGTTTGAAGATGTGTTTGTTATCTTATGATAACACTGTTTAACAGACAAATACATATTAAATGGAAATATTTATTATTATTTGATTTGAACCCTTTATCTTTCAGTGATTAGATCAATAACCACGATACATTATTGGTATTTGATAGAAAGCACACTGAACTGAGTCATCCATCTATTTTGTGCGAAGATATTTTTAAATCAACATAATTTTCATTCTGCGTTACTTGATAACGATAATTAATTAAATTTAAATACAAAATGTGCATATGTGTTTTAAAATATTTTTTTCGCGTTTGTTTTTGCAATATCTGCTTGTTCGAAGGAGAAATTCGGTCAAACAACTAATAAAATTCTATATTTGTTAAGCTTTATTTCTACAATACCGTATGGTCAAAAACACGTCATAGTGTATGCTTTTTTTATTTTCTTTCATACTTTTTATTCATCACCAAAGTAAAAAGTAATTAAGTATTATGCATATATACAGAATTAATTATATCTAATAACAGTTCTTTACTTAATCTAATGATGAAGTCTGAATCACACGAAATTCAAAATGTTAATTTATATATTTTTTATTCATCACCTGTATAGATAAATAGACCTGTTGAAGTATACACATACAATTATCAAAATTTAATTTATAATTATCAATTAGATCTAATATTATTAGGTTCTAATTATTGCACAACATAAAATTCATTCCACTTGTAATATTGTTGAAGCGTTATTACTAACAAAATAGCTCATATTATTTTGATGTTCCTTTATCATCATGACTATGCTGTTTGTTAGCCACCTGATGAATGATTTTTTTTCGTTATTTTGTTATATGGATAACGTATTTTGTCCATGCTTGCAGGTTACCTTGGCTTTAAAAAAACTGAAGGTACTTGGTTAAAGGTCGCCTTGATAGTGTACATATACGTTAAAATGTATTACTGCAGCTGTTATTACAGCTTTTTTCAAACCCCAAAAAAATACATTAAACGCTGAATATATTTTGCATAAACTGTATAGTGCGGACACGTTTTAATATTTTGCTATTATAAATTATAAAAATTACAAAAATTTATATTAATGTGTTAAAACTGTTTTATTCAAAGTAGTAGTATTTCTACTTCGATTCCGGGTCTAAGGATCACATTTATAATTTTCCTATTCGTTCAAAACAATATACATAAATTATGTATTAAGAACTTTTGAATTTTCTTTAGGAAAGCTGAGTTTGTATGTTTTGTAAGTTCATTTTCAGTATTATATTCATTTATTACTAATACAGCATTAACTATTATAACAGGGAAAGTGTGAATTCGATATGAA